TGGTGGCATTTTAACACTTATTCTACCACCAGTCTCTGTCAAACGTTTGGGTAGTCATTGTTTATTTTTTATTTTTCACACACATTCTACTTTAGGCATAGATTCTCAGCTCCTGTTAGGTGTTCCTGCCACAGGACACCCCAATATGTGCTCGGCAACATCTCCCGAGTACAGCGATACCACCCATGTGTAGTTTGTCGGGTTCTCTGGGGGGTGCAAAGCAAAACGTCTGATATGCGTTTTTCAAATTTTTCATATCTTTGCCTATCTTTTTGGGGGCTTTATCAGATATCCCAATGTATTTGTTTGCCAATTTTTTGTTCAATTTTCATTTTTACACACACATTGCTTTTTGACTGTGATTTAGGAGAGCCTGTTGTTGGTCATTGCAAGAAAACACCACAGGTTGTTTTCTGCAAGGCCTCCTTAGTACACTCATGCCCCCCATGCATAGGTTTGCCAGAATTTTGGGAAGGTATGGTTACAATTGTATGACTCACAATTTGAGTTGAAATTGAGAGTATTTCTTCTGATAGGCTTGGGGCTTATCACAGTTTTATATATTGCCATGAAAGTGTACATACTTGAAACAGACGCCCCAAGGTATTGTATATGGAATGCTTTGCAACTTTTTTTAGCCAAAAAAAAAAAAATTGAAAGTGTCTGGTGGTAACTGTCCAATTTAAATTTTTACACACACATTGTTTTTTGACTGTGATTTATGAGAACCTGTTGGTCATTGCAAGAAAACACCCCAGGTTGTTTTCTGCAAGGCCTCCTTCGTACACCCATGCCCTCCATGCATAGAATAAATGTAACAAAACCAAAAAAACTGAAAGGCAAAAAAAAAAAAAAATGGACAAGTGTGTGGTATTGTTTGAAGCAGTCCCCAATGCAGAGTCCAGTCTGTCCAGGGCAATCAGGACAGTGATATACAGTATCTTTTCTCTGTCCCCTCTTAAAAGAGATTCTGCATCTTTTTTCGGGATTCTGCTTTGCCGCAGTAGGGGGGATTTTAAAAATAAAATGTGTAGCCCCAACTCTGCTCTACCATCACCGCCCGGGGAGCAGGTGCATCACGGTACAAAATCCTCGAAACGATCTGGAGCTGAAACTGTAAAAAACTCAGTTGCTTCCCGGCTTTTGCTTTTTTGAACAACAAAAAAGCGTTGTGGGTTGCAATCTGCATTATGTAGATTGCAACCTTTTTTGTACAAGGCCCTTGTCTTTCGTATAATTAGGTAGGGCTGCAGCAGCTGATCTGCCAGATCAACCCCACCCATATGTCGGTTATAGATCTTGATGCACACTGGCTTCCTTGTGCTCTCAGCTCTGCCACGAACAGGCCTCAGTGTGGATGGTGGTAAGAAGGTACACATCCTTCTTGTCTCTGTACTTAAATGCCAACAGCTCCTCTTGGCGCAGAGCTGAGGCCTCCCCCCTTCATAGCCAGGTGCGTGCAAGTTGTCCTGGGAAACCTGTGCTGTTCTTTTTGATTGTACCGCAAACTACTGTATCAAAACAGTACAGTAGCTTGAACAAAGGGACACTTGTATAAAAATTGTCAGTATACAAGTGGTACCCTTTGTTCATCAGGGGGAATATCAGGTCCCAGACAATCTTGCCATTGGTTCCCATATGTTCTGGGCAACCTGGAGGGTCAAGGTGGCTATCCTTTCTCCCCCGGAAGGCCTGAGTATACCCAGTCTCGCTGTCACAGAGCTTATACATCTTTACACCATACCTAGAGCGTTTGGAAGGAATATACTGCTTGAATCCCAGCCTTCTGTTATACTTCATCAGGGATTCATCCACGCATATATTCCTTCCAGGTGTATAAGCCTCTGCAAACCTGGCAGCGAAGTGGGTAATCAGGGGGCAGATTTTATTCAGCCTGTCAAACTGGGGATGCTCCCTAGAGGGGCACAGACTGTTGTCGCTTAAGTGCATGAAATGCAGAATAATTTCATACCTCTTCCTCGACATACACTGGGAGTAAATGGGGGTAGAGAAGATGGGGCTACTGCTCCAGTAGGAGCGGATGGAGGGCTTCTTTATGATGCCCATCAGCATAGTTCATGCCCAGAATCTTTTAAATTCTGGCACATCGATGGGGGCCTATTGCTGCTTTGCCAAAAAATATTGGCATATAAATTAGTTTGAGCGACAATGTTCCCCAATACATTATCGCCCAGAAACACCTCCATAAACTGCTGAGGGCTAAATCCTGTGACATCCAAATTAATGCCAGTATTTGCAGTAAAGGGTGGGATGTCTGGCCTCTGGTGATGAGGCACTACCCACTCCTCAGCAGTTCTGCCAGCTGGAGCAGCATAGGGAGATCCACACTAATCAGACAAATGGGGAACACACTTGGAATAAAATTGCTAATGGGTCAAGCTGTAATTGGATGACCCTAGCCTGCACCTATGATGAGGCAGGCTAGGGACACCCCCAGAAAGGGAGGGGGGGGGTTAATATTGATTTATTTTATTTTTTATATTTATTTTATATATATTATATATTCGCTGAGTGCCTGGACCCCTCGAGGCACTTAGCACATGCAGAGCATTGCTGCAATACTATCAGAGCTTCCAGCGCTCAAAATAGCTGCGGACGTATCAGGTACGTCCATGGTCATTATGGACTGTTTTTTGCCGGACGTACCTGATATGCCGCGGTCGGGAAGGGGTTAAGCACGTACTTGATATGTAAGTATTGAGGTATCACTAGATAATGGTGATGCAGAAGGGACATTGATATTGAAATGCAAAGTTATCTTGGTTATATACTTTTCCTGACACCTCTAAGAGATGACTTGATCCAGCTTCCAATCAGTAGTAATGTAGGGATAACCAGAGAGATTCCAAAATGATATGTACAGAGGAAGACTAAATGATTAAACGTATCTCTAGTAACGCTCTCATGAGTTATGATAGAATGCAGTTGTCGAACGTCTATGGCCTCAACAGCCAATGGTGTCTCCTCTTAAGGAAAAAACATGTACTTTAACAAAACTGTTATCAATAAAGTTATCAGGAGCTCCAGAATCAATAAAAGCATGAATATTAGCAGATTTATTTTCCCAAGTCAAGACGATAGGGAGTAGAAAACAATTTTGAGGCAGAAAAGGAGACTTGGATGTCACACCCAATGCCAGTCCCCCGAGCAACCTTGGGTGAGAGTGTTTTTTAAAAAAAATTTGTTTTTTGCACAATTTAAGCACTGTCCCTCTTTTCTCCAATATTGCTTCTATGCACCTGATAATTATGATGCCCCTAACTGCATTGGTTCAGTGTCTAATGTAGAGTAATTGGGAGCAGTTATACATACATACAGGGAAGGTGGAGCTTCTAAATATTTGTCACAAATTTTAAGCCTGGAGTCATACCCTCATATGACTCCGGTGGTATGCGCCTCTGGACCATTCAAGGATGTCTAAATCCTTTTTCCTTTGTCCAGTTGATTGGTGTTCTCACTTTTGACCGGCTCCAATGTTGGTAAAGAAAGGCCAGGTAAAAGGAAATTGTATCCAGTAAAATATTATAAAAAATCCAAACATAAAATAACTGTAAAAACTATATTAATATAAAGTCCCAGATAGCTATCTGGATCGGCTATATAGCCTGTAATGTAGAGTCCAGAATATAAAATCCAAAACGCGTTTCGCCTTGTAACAAGGCTTCCTCAGTTGGTTGTGTTGATTTGCTTCTCCTCTTCCTGATCTTTAAATGCCCGCTCTTTGCCGGTTCCCTTTAACTTCCGCTTCCGGGTTTCGCTGACATGCGTACCCGCGTCATCAGTTCTTTTTGCACTTTCGCTTCCGGGTTCCGGATGCTGACCTTCAATGGAACGCACCATGCGTTCCAACCACCTTACGTGGAACGCAACGTGCGTTCCAATGTTCTTCATACTCCATTGTGCCTCCTAATGGAACGCACCTTGCGTTTCAACTACTAATCCATCCATTTATATCAGTAAAACTTTTGTTTAGTCCCATATGTTCCATGAGTGACTTGTTTCACTCCTATATTCAAATATCCCAGGTATTTAATCATCATATTCTTTACTGTAGTACTGGTAATATTCTTGTAGGAAGAACATAAACAAAATCCACATATATTTCATAAACCATTTTTATACATGTACTAAATAAAATGAAAAAATAGAAATAGAGATAAATCTAAATTTTTGAACTAATTTAAAGTGCAAATTGCTTATACCATTTTTAGTGCAATTTTAGAACTCATTTTAAAGTGCAAATTGCTTATACCATTCTTACGTGTATTGGTTAAACTGAAATAAAGATAAATCTAAAACAATTTTTTAAATCTCATTTTAAAGTGCAAATTGCTTATATTGCTTATAAGCACCCGCGGCACCCCAGGCACCCTCAGGAGCTCCAGAATCAATAAAAGCATGAAGAAAATAGGAAGGGAAGAAATGAAATTAATTTTTAATTTTAATACAATGATACCACATGGGCTGAATAATGATTTCGAACTGTCATTTTATGCATTAATATTATTTTTGCAAATAAGCCATTTTTGAATATATATTTCATGAATATTAGCAGATTTATTTTCCCAAGTCAAGACGATAGGGAGTAGAAAACAATTTTGAGGCAGAAAAGGAGACTTGGATGTCACACCCAATGCCAGTGCCCATGCTCGTGCCTGCCACCTGTGCACCCACGTAATCAGGGGAGGGGGCAACCGTACCAAGGGAGGGGGCAACCGTACCAAGGGAGGGGGCAACAGAACCGGGGGGGCGACATTACTGTGGGGGGCACCAGCACTGGGAGGGGGAGCAATAGTATCAGGGGGAGGAGTCATAACATTACAATGAACTTGGCTGTGGACCTGTTTGATTAGGTCAGTGGGTCCCATTAAAGCAGCAACATTAGCAGCAACATTTGTATTACTGCACTCACTCCCATCACCCCCAGCCATCCCTAAACCACCACTGGTGATTCTCTCAACAGGAACTGCTGGCCGGGGATGATAGGAGTCCTCGGTATCCATGGCACCAGCGGTAACCAGGGCACCCGCGGCACCGGCACCCATGGCACCACTGGCACCAATGGCACCAGTGGCATCCCCAGCGCCAGTGGCATCCCCAGCGCCAGTGGCATCCCCAGCGCCAGTGGCATCCCCAGCGCCAGTGGCATCCCCAGCGCCAGTACCATGAACATTTTGAGTATTAGCCATTACATAGAGGGGCACACATGGGGGAACAGACGGGGAGACACATTGTGATACATGCTGGGAAGCAGGCTGGGAAACAAACAGGGGAGGAGACTGACAAACAGGGGAATGGAGCTGAAAACCCACTGGGGGAGCAGAGGAAGGAGAAGGGCCATCAATCTGCACACTCTGGTGCTGCACAGCCCCAGCTACTGCAGCAACCTCCAAGGAAGGTACAACGGCACCGCTATTCCCCCCACCAGGCCGCCCCATTGCAGGGGCAGCTTCCATGGAGGGTCCAGCGGCACCGTCTTTACCCCCAACAGGCCGCACAGCGCCGGGGACTGAGCAGCAGTGTGGTAAGGGTGGAGGCACATTGCACCCCTCATGTCCCTCCTACCCCTAAGGGCCCTCTGCCTCCTGGATTGCGCTGCCTCCTTGGCCCGCTGTTGCAGGATGGACTGGATGTCCGCCATTTTCAATTCAGTTTGGAGCAGGGTGTAGGAAAGCCGCTGCTCCTCCAGTTTTTTCTGGGCAATAATGGCCCTCACAGGACCCCTTTTGTGGTTAGAGGTCCTGCTGGATTCTCTTCTGTGGTTAGAGGTCCTGCTGGATTTCTCTCTCTGCTCCCGGAGCTCTGCCTGGACCCCAGCAAGGCCCGCATCTGCCTCGGCGTGCTGGGCCTTCAGGGACGCCAGCAGACCCCGGAGCCTGTCAGAAGGTAGCCCTCTGAATGCCCTAGCCTCAACCCCCTCACTCTTTGAGGGGCCTCGCTGGTACCAACCACCTCAGGGGGGGTCTCAGGGACTACCTCCTCCCCGGGACCCTCTCCCGCATCCAGTGACGGGGGGGGGGGCTGCTCCAGGAAGCGGATGCTGTCACTGGCAAGTTCTTTACACTCAGCCAGCAACCCAGAGAGCAGCTGGATATCGGCCCTGGTATGGGCCGTGGCTCCCTGGGGGACCCCCACTCCCTTCTTCCAATCAGCAAGCTTGCTTGCCATCCCCCCCCGCCAGTTCTTGCAACCGGGAAACTTGTTCTCTAACTTGCCGGGAGAGGGCCTGGTGTGCAGTCCAGGACAGGCTCCTGGTATCCACCCTACCCTCCCCAAAAGCCAGACTAACCTGCAGTTTGTCCAGGAGGACCTTCCATCCCCAGGCTGGGGAGGAAGGCCCGAGGGCCATGCTTCCTTAGGCCCAGGCAGAGCCCCCAAGTCCAGTGAGCTTCCAAGCCCAAAATCAGTGCAGGGAACCAGGGAAAAAAACTGACAGCCACCTCCCACAAAACCTCCACAGTCTCCTCCTCCTCCAGTCTTTTTTCACAATTTTAATGGCACTAAAAAACATTCCTTCAGGATTTTGATTATGGTTCTTTTTAAAATGGTTTGAGACACTGTGTCTCTACTCCATTTTTTATATTTCTTGTGTGTTCCGCCACTCTTATGTTTAAGTTGCGAATTGTTCTCCCCACATATGAGGTTGCATGGGCACTTTAAAACGTAAATTACTCCCTTTGAATGACAAGTCAGATGGTATTTTATTTTAAATTTTTGATTTATAAAGGATTCCATGTCATTTATAAAGCGTTTCCTACTTTTGGTGTTTCTACACGCCAGACATTGCCCACATCCATAGAAACCTTTCTCCATGGTAAAAAATTCCCATTATCTAATGTCAATTCTTTATTGCAACTTTGAACTAGTGTGCTTTTTAATTATTTTAGGTTTCTCTGGCAGAATGTTTTTAAGGACTGGATCATCGTGTAAAATGTGCCAATACCTATTCATTACCTTACTAATTTTTTAATTATTGCCATTAAAACTACATATAAATGGAATGGTCTTATTATCACATTGTGAATTTTCTTTTTTATTTTTGTAAACCAACGTATTCTTCCTTGGAATTCTAAGGACATCTTCTAAGGTTGTCTGTAATCTAGTTTCTTCATAGCCTTTTTGTAGGAACTCATTTTGATTTTATTTGCTTGTATGATATAGTCTTGATCGTTTGAACAGTTTCGCCTAATCCTTAGGAACTGGCCCGTAGGGGCATTCATTAGCCAAGGGGCATGGTGACAACTTTCCTTCCTGATATATCGATTCGCGTCGACTTCTTTGAAATAATTCCTGGTTGTAATTGTCGAATCTACTATACTGATCTCTAAGTCTTAAAAATTAATGGTCTCTGTACTGATCTGGGCAGTTAAAACAATGTTCCATTAATCTGAATTCAAATGTGTCATAAACGTATTTAAATCAATGAGGGTTCCTGTCCAAATATATAGTCTATAAAACGTTGATAGCACACCAAGTTCGCCCCCCATGGATGTCCTTGGTAGATGAATTGTTCCTCCCAATATGCCATGAATAAGTTGGCATAGCTCGGGGCGAACTTGGTGCCCATCGCATTCCCTCTTATCTGCAAATAAAAAGCTTCATTAAACCCCCAAAAATTATTGGTTAAAATTAAATGGATGCCTTCTAAAATGAATAAAACTTGATCTTCTTTAAAATTATTCTTTCTTAAAAAATATTGGACTGCTTCCAATCCTTTTTTGTGTGGTATAATGCTGTAGAGTGAAGTCACGTCACATGTGACCAAAAAGTTCCCCCTTTCCAAGTGACCTTTTCGATTAATTAAAAGATGTGGATAGTATCCTTCAAATATGCGGGATTAGAAATGACCAAAGGTTGTAATAAATGATCGAGATATTCGGATACCTTTGCTGAAATAGAATCTATCCCCGATATAATGGGCCTTCCGGGTGGATTTTCTTTGTTCTTATGAACCTTTGGAAGGTGATAGTATACGGGTGTTTTAGGATAAGGGGTCGATAAATACTGGGCTTCCTTTGCAGTTAGTATTCTTTTCTCTAACCCTTTCTCGATGTAATTATCAAATTTCTTTTTAATATTCTCAATCGGATTTTTCTCTAATTTCTGGTATGCGTCAGGATCTGAGAGAATTCTTTCTGCTTCTTGTAAGTATTTGCATTTTGGGATAACTACAACCCCCCCCCCCTTATCCGCCGGTTTAATAATTACTTTATTTTGTTGTAAATCTTTTACTGCTCTCTTTACTTTGTTTGACATATTCTGATGGTGTTTATTTAATGGTTTAATTCTTTTGATTTCTTTCATAACCATCATTTCAAAAGCTTTTAAGATTTGTATGTATGTATTCCGATATTTCTTCCTCTCTTGGGGCATCTTACCTATTAAAAAAGAACTTTTTCAAACAAAGTTTCCTAATAAATTTGTTTACATCTATATAGAAGTCAAATGTCAACCCTTTTTGTAGGACCTCAATCTCTCCTACAGGTAATTCTTTTCCTGTTAGGTTGAAGATCCCTTCTAAGTTTACCTCTTTCCCCTCTTCTCTCTGTGGCTCTCTTCCTCTTTTTCTACTTCTCTTTCTTCTGTTAATGATCTTTGTCTTTTGCCCGGATATTCCCATATTATAGTTTGACGGGTTTGTTTCAACCTCTCTGTCATTGGGTCCTTCCGAAAAGAAGGTTCTTGTATTGATGTATGTGGTTGTTCCATCATTTTTTCTGATCTATTTCTTTGTATCTTTTGGGAATATCTATCATTTGTCTCCTTTCATTCTCACCCCCTATTTGGTCTCTTTTTCCTATTTTGGCTAGAATATTTAGTTGAGCTACTTGACTGTAGCTTCTGTAATTTGTAGATATTGGGAGAGGAGAATGATCGCTCTTATTCCATCGGTACGGTGTAGGTTTTTGTCTAAAGAGGTCTTTGTGTCCTTGATTTCTTTTATAATCCTGATCCTGTTCCCTTGTTAATTTATATCTGGGTATCCTATGTGTTTCTCCCTCGTACCTACTGTTTTGTCTATTTCTAGAAGGTGATCTGCTTTTTCTTCTCTCTATGAACCTTTTGTTATATGAGTAGTTATATTGTTTTTTTTGTATACTTCTTGTTCTTGTTTTTTAAAATGTGATCTTTGTTTTTTTTATGTTGTTTATATTGCCTATTTTGTAGACATTCATATCCTGTAAATATTTACTTTTTTTTACTTCAATGACTTCTTTCTCTATTTTTTCTACCTTGCTTTTTATGTCCTTCATAATTTGAGTATATATCTCAGGGTTAGTTGTTTCACTTATTATCCCTTCCAGGTTTTAATTTCTGTATCTAATTGTGTAAGGGTTTGTTCTCGTCTGGAGACGATATATCCCATAGTGCTGAAGGCAAAACCCTCCAACATCTTACTCCATCCTGTCATAAAGCCTTCATCTTCTCTATCAAAGGATGGGCTTTTTTGAAATCTAAGGCCTCTTGGTGTAATTTGTTCCCTTACATATTTTTTCAAAGTAGCTATTTCCCACTTTATTTTCATTTCCCTAATGAGGGCTTTCTCTAAATTTATATTTGCAATTGTCTGAATCTATATAAGTAATTTCATTAGATGAATCCCTTGTTGAGGCAAACATTTGGTCTATATTATTAGTTGAATATTCTCTATTCTCAATCAATGCCATGTTGCAAAATTAGTATCACCACTTCGTGCAAGGGGTATTTACAATAGTACAAATGATACAGCACTCACTCAAATGGCAGCAGATTCTGTTAATTGGAATCCCTAACAATCTAAGGGAAAATAAGTATAAATTGAAAGAAGTATGTATATGTGTGTATCAATAAATATATATTATCTAGTAAAACCAAATAGCGATAGAAATAACTGTTAGAATTAAGTTTCAGAGGAATAAAACACTGGTCTTTATTTCTATAAGCCTTTGAGGAGGTGATCCTTCAGTGTAGTAAATCAAAAGTCCTCCTTGACGTTTAAATAAATTTAGGTTTTGATTGAGGTAGTTCTGTTATTGGCATCTCATGTAAAATATAAACAGAAAAGAAAAACCAATAGTGCAAACCTGTCTGTTCAATATCTCAATTATGTGAAGAAAAAGAACACACACACAAAGATAGAGCCTCCAGTCAGCTCTTAGATAAGGTTCTGAGTGGTAAAATCCCCACTCAGGGATGAAACTGGAATTTTTCACTGTGCTCACTTTTTAAAACAAGTGTGGAAAGGTATGAAAATGAC